CAGGTTTCTTTCATTTTGCTCAAAACCTGATAAAAAAATTACCAGAACACTGTCAAATCTGAAAAAAAAAACAAATATTTCTCCCAACTCATCAACTCAAATAGACACAACCCCCGCGCCCTATTCACAACAGTAAATTCCATTCTAAACGTCCCTTCGTATTCATGTATGGAGGCCTCTGTTGACACCTGCAATGTCTTCACTAAATTCTTTAACAAAGTGGAGTTGATCAGGGCCTCCTTCCCCCGCTCCTTAGTCGACCCATCAGCTTTTGTTTCGTGTTCTGCTACTTTCAGGCAATTCAAACCAATCACACTCCCATTGTTAAACAAAGTTGCTGGTCACATGAAGCCATCAGGATCACCATCGGACCCCATCCCAGCAGCATTGTTCAAACAGGTTCTACCAGCGATTGGGCCTGCTGTTCTAACTATACTAAACAGTAGTATTGCTACAAGCGTGGTCCCAGAGGCGTTCAAACATGCAGTAGTCACACCGTTAATTTAGAAACCTGGTCTTGACCCTTCAGCCTGCTCAAATTACAGACTAATCTCAAAACTCCCCTTTCTGTCCAAAATCCTGGAAAAAGTAGTTTTTACTCAGTTAAATCAGTTTTTAACTGAGAACAAAATCTTTGAGGTCTTTCAGTCTGGTTTCAAGCAGCTCCACAGCACCGAAACAGCTTTGGTTAGGGTTTGTAATGACATTGTAACAGCAAATGATTCTGGTCATTTTGTGGCTCTTGTACTCCTCGATCTTACTGCCGCTTTCGATACTGTTGACCACAGTATCCTCATCTCTCGGCTTGAACATTGGGTTGAGATTACAGGTGCTGCATTAGACTGGTTCCGCTCATACCTCTCTGACAGGAGTTTTTGTGTGAAGGTGGGTGTTCTATGAAATTATCTTTAACAAGATAGATACAGGTTAGGGGAAAGGTCGGAGCAATGAATGAAAACTCTCAAAAGAAACTCTCAAACTTTTTTCTGCTAGAATAATAAGTGTCATTTATTAAACCGCCACAGATAGAGCAAAGCATCGTACATTCAGTACAAATCAAGCATTGATGTAGAAACCCCTCACCGTGACACCAGATCGAGGAAGCCGTTTTCGGTCCGAGTGAGAAGGTGACATCAATTCAGGCTGGGCATCGGATCCAGAATCCACAGCAGACTTCGACTCTCATTCTGGGTGTTACACTTTTTATACTCCCCCTCTGACTGGGTGACGTGCGGGCAGAGCAAACATGTTTTCCATCATCAAGGCAGTTTGTACAGCAGAGCGATGGCTCATAAAAACATGTCTTTCAAACCCAAGGTCGTGGGTGGATGAAAGACCTGTCTACATCAAACTCCGGGTCTCTGTAACAGCAAGATGGGCCAGATCTTGCGGCAAGAACACCCCCGGAGGCTTATTTTTATTCCTCCAAAACACATCTGCAGTACAGGCCTGATTTGTACAGATAAGCTGCATATAAAATGAGTATAAAATAAGTATAAATTGACATAAAAGCATCACAATAATCATTCCTATATCAGTGGGTAAAAATCTATCCACTTCAATGCTTCTTTCCTGCGGTGTCCCGCAGGGCTCGATTCTCGGACCCCTTTTATTTTTCGCTCTATCTGCTTCTGCTGGGGTCGATCCTAAAAATCATGGTATTCCATTCCATTGCTACGCCGATGACTGTCAGATCTACCTGCCTCTGAAACCAGCCAGTGCTTGTTCCGTCCACCCTCTCCTCAAATGTCTGGACGACATTAAGACATGGATGGCTTCAAATTTTCTAAGTTTTAACGACCAGAAGACTGAAGTCATTGTCTTTAGCCCTAGCTCAGCTGCCGCCTCTTATCCTGTGAACCTGGACTCCCTTCAGCCTTATCTGAAGCACTCTGTTAAAAACCTCGGAGTGGTTTTTGACTCGGATTTTAAGTTCGACAAACAGATCAGTTCGGTTCTGCAGAGAAGCTTCTTCCAACTGCGGCAGGTAGCTAAGATCAAGCCAGTGCTGTCTAGACCTGACCTTGAGACACTAGTCCATGCATTCATCACAACCCTCCTGGACTATTGTAATTCACTGTATGCTGGGGTCAGCCAGGCCTCTATCTCACGGCTACAGCTCGTCCAGAATGCTGCAGCTCGGCTTTTAACCGGTACACCGAGGTATGAGCACATCACACCAGTTCTGTCCTCCCTACACTGGCTTCCTGTGAGAACTAGGATTGATTTCAAAATTCTCCTCCTGACCTATAAGTGCCTAAATGGCCTCGCACCCATCTACCTCTCTGAACTACTGGAACCATATGTTCCCTCTCGGGCTCTGAGATCATCCGATCAGCTGCTTTTGGTTGTTCCAAAAACACGACTGAAGCTCCGAGGAGATTGGGCGTTTTCAGTCATGGGTCCCAAACTGTGGAACAACCTACCTCCCAACAATAGGCATGCCACCTCCCTTCCTGTGTTCATATCCCTGCTAAAAACATATCTGTTCTCTCTGGCGTTTCATACTGTGTGAGTTGATCTTACTGCTTATTTCTTAGTGTTACCCTTAGTGTTAAGCACTTTGATAACAGTCTATCTGTTTTAAATTGTGCTGTATAAATAAATATGACTTGACTTGACTTGACTCTTTTTCTGGATGTAAATCACATTTTTTGGATAATTGTTTCCTCTGGTATCGGATGCTGTGCAGCTGGAAGGATTTTTACTGAAACTTTTTTAGTTTTGGACATTTATGATGTGTAACCATAAGAACAAGGCAGTTTTCTACAACCAACAGCAGCTGATTAACATCTCAAAAGCTCAAATAATCTCAGCTACAGCTCCAAATCTCAAATGAGTTGAAAAGGATGTTCTGTGGATGCATTCTCATCTACCCGCCAGCTGTGCTCGAGTGTCTGACCACTGAGATCCTGGAACTAGCAGGAAACACCGCTTATGACAGTGGTAGGACAGGATCGTCCCTCTGCACTTGTAGTTGGTTGTCCGCACCAAGGAGGAGCTTGGCAGACTGCTGGGAGGACTGGCCATCGCTCTGGGTGGAGTTTTGCCCAGCATTTGGGCGGTCGTACAGCCAAGGAGAACTGAGAAGCCAGCCGAGTCTGGGTGGACAGATTGGACGGCATCTGCAGCCAGTTTCTTAGGATCCACTGTGGAATGGACCTATACAAGAGATCCTTCCTGTCTACAGCATCAGTATCTATAACATCTCTTAATGAAATGAGGATAACGAGTTACAACAACAAAATAATTTCCCTTTGGCATTAATAAAGTATATTTGAATTGAATTTGAATTGAATTGAATTTCACTGTGTTGTCTTTTCTGTTTATCCTAAAATGTTCCCAAACTTTTGACAGTTTTTGTTGTTTTTGGGGCTCTTCTTCTAGGCAGTCTCCGTTCCTTCCATAGCTACAAACTTAGCACATACGCTGAAAGGTATTTTTGCACCTACAATAATAAAGAACCACACACGACAACAAGCGTTAATTTTTAAACAAGCTTTATGCAAAAAGGGGAGAATCACAGTAACAACCTCTAAGTGCTGAAAACTGTGAACTACAGATTCTTTCTTCTTTAGCTCGTCTTTTATTCACAGCGTGTGGGCGTGAAAGCAGGTTCAAGAAAGCAGTTGCATTAAGATAACATAAAGTTCCTCTTTTGCAAAACAACAGTCTGTCAGAACATCTCATGATTTTCCATTATCCATTTCTCAGAAACTGATGTTCCTATCAGTTTATCTCCGCTTTGCACGCACATAGCAACAGGTCAGATAATCAACAAACAGTGTAAAATTGATAACTATATGATAAAAACACTCATACGCGTTAACGGAAGTGCTATCGGAAGCGCTAGCTTTGTGTAACACAAAAACTTTCCGGCTAGACCACAGTGCTCTGAAAAGTTTAACGAAGCTTCAAGGCAGATAAATTTGCCTCCAGGATTTTTGTATTCCAGGTCCTTGAATGATTCAAGGAATCTTTTCAGCACTAGGAGCGCTGTTTCTTAAAGGGAAATTACGCAATCCACCATGCAAAAAAAAAAAACCCCTCTTCGCATCTGGACATCTCGCATAAATGACGTATTTTAGTTTGAAATTGGCGAATTTCACCGAAAAACTACTAGTTTGTAGGTAACTGTGTCACAGGCTTGAACTAAAAATGCATTCCTCCTTTGGTTCCTTTCTTTCACCTTTTCTCTCCCTCTACTTTTGACTGTCGACTCGTGTCTAGTTTCACAGAGCGGTGCTGCACTGTAGCAGCTTCACTGGCAGGAGTGTTGGCTTTTCAAAATAAAATAAATTTTAACATTTCATGATATTTAAATTTATTTAAATTCTATATTAACCTTTATTCTGAAGGTGTGGCGGAATGTATTTTACCGTGGCGCACCACCAAGGTAAAATACATGCAGAGGAAACCCTGCTTGTGGGATGGTCCTTGAGAGTATGTTGTTGGTCATTCAGGTTAGACTTCTAGTCACATGATGACATAGTGGGTGGAGTTATAGATGGGTATTTGAAACCGTGAGCAAAAGGCCTTGTACATCTGATTACCTGAGGGCATTCTCTGTGTCACAAATGCCTGCCCCCATGATGGCCGTGGTACAGGGAGCCACAAGCACCCAGCTCTGTCAAAGGAAAAAGTTAGTCAATGGTAGGAAGCTACTGAAAGACGGCAGGAAGTCCTTCAAAATAAAAAATAAAAATATAAATTTTGAAAATTATGAAAAATAACATAAGACACTCCTGCATAAACAGCAAGATGCAAAGTGTGAGACAAAAGTTGCGGCTTATAGAACGGTAGTTACGATACTTGTGATGTAGTGTAGAACATTGGCTGTGATATTCATTTTTATTTGAGCAAGCAGTTCATTCTTTTTTTTTTTTTAAGTCTCATTTTTCTAAGAGTGAAGTAAAGGGCAGCATTGCAGTCAACAATATGATCAGACTGAATGTAGTCCCTGACTAATGAGTCCATGTTTGTGTCTGTTTGAATTTCAGGATTTGATTGCTGGTTACCGGAGGAAATGCAGCTGAGATTTCGATCAGTTGTTCCCTATACATTGCCTGGAGTACTTGCACTGATCGGGTGGTGGTGGTACACCTCCCGGAAGAAAGAACGACTTATCAGCCAAGAGGGCTCAGAGGGGCCTCCAACTGCTGAGATCCTTAAAACTTCTCAAACAGAGGACAGAAATGGGTTGGTTGAGAAAGACACTGGTTCGTCCCCACATGAAGAGGAAATCCCATCCCACAAACCCTTAAAACTCAACAGCCATGGATCTCAACAAGAATTTATTTCCCAAGTCCACGTCCAGGACATGGAAGCAGCACCTTTATCATCAAAACATTGTGAAGATGCTGTTGCCTCTAGTGGCAGAAACCGAGGTGAAGTCAATGAACCCTCAAACTTGGCTTTACTATCATTTAATAAAGAGGATATGTCAGAAGATTCGTTTAAAGACCTTAAAGACTCATCCCTTGTTCCAATTGGACAACTGGAGGAACACCTTGACAAAGATTCAGCAAATGCTCCTGAAGCCTCAGTAGAAGAAGTTAACTTGTCTTGCCATTTTACCAAAGTCATCAGCTCCTCGTTGACAGCAGCACACCTTTCTGATGCACAGAGGCCAGAACCAGAGGGGGAAGTAGCTACGCATCAGAACATTGCTCAAACACAAGAAGAGGTGGCTCTCGCACCATCCAAAGTGTCTAGGGTTGTTCATTTAGAGGCAGACTCTCTGGAGAGTCCCCTGTCAGTGGATTTACACAAACACTTACTCACCAGTACCCCTACAGCTCTTACCTTCAGAGTCCAGGACCCCAGCACCACATGGAGAGCCTCAGAGGATTCCCATATTGGGAGTACTCAAGAAGAGCATAATCTAGAGCTTCTGGCAGCTGGACTTATAACTGAGGTCATCTCGGCAGCCACCCAAGAAGTCCTTGGTGTCACCAGTTGCAAAGTCACACAGAACAACCAACTGAGCTCCAGTAGTTGTGTACTACTGGCCAGTGAAAAGACATGTTCACATGAAGAGCCAATTCCAGCAATACAGCAACACAGCTGGCACAAGAGAACCTGTGGAGAGGCAGCAGAAATGCAAGGAGTGTCTGCCAGTAGCTCCATGACTGCAGCACGAGGAGCTGCTGAGACCACTGATGAGATTCATGAAATCAATGGTGCACAGAGCAGTCTTTGGCCAGCACAGCTACATCAAGCAACAGTGCTGACCACAAAACAAAGACACAACGAAGATTCAACCTGCAGCACCTGCCTCTCTGAGGATGGTGTCAACAGAGAGGGCATGCAGAGCAGCTCTTCTGAAACTCAAACTGATTTGATCCAAGTTACAGACTTGTCTTCAAGAGAAACAGTGCAGCTGGAGTCACTAGTGGAGACCATGACTGAAGCAGCTGAGGAGGACTTTGCGGATGCTGTGTGTGTTATAAGGAGACATAATGGGATAAGCTCTAAGGATGGAGCTCATCGAACATGCGAGGTGGACACAGATCAATCCGGAGGTGAGACATCAGTCTGTATTCAAAAAGCATTCAATACCAAAAAAAGTCTGTTTGTAGAATGTGTTTTATTACTTTGATACTTGTAGCTTGCCTGTTGCTGACAAACAACTTAAGATGCATTTACCTATGTATCTGACTGTACATTTGTTTGTTTAAATTAGAGCTGAGCGATATCTCAATTTTAAAAATAGCTATATAATTTTTTTGTGACAAGTTGAGACTATATCGATATAAAACGACATTATGTTATGCTTGAAAATCCTGCTGTCTTCTTTCTCCCACGCGGCCCCCCTCCTTCTCCCTCCCTGAATCGAGCTTTAGAACGTGACGTCACTGTGTCTGCGGCACGGTGGCCGATGGGATAGGATCACCATCTTTATTGTCCTCCAAAATAAAGCTTTCTCACTGAATTAAAAAAAAAATCTACATAGGTTAAAGCAATTTAGCAATGGTCTGATCTTGTTGCTATTGACTGTAATGTCCGGTCACACGACTGGAAAGAAAAAGATCGAAAACAGACTTTAGTTTCATTGTTTTCTCACCTGGAAACAATGCGAAGGACCAAACAAAAAGGAGACAAATGGCTTGGAAATCAGCGGTGAGACGTCCTGATATAACCTTCTCCAATGTCCCAAGATACCTGCTAGGTTGTTCCAGACATTTCCATTCTGGTGAGTGTCTAAATTTGGTGTCTTGGTGTTGTGCCATGGATTTTTGTCATGATTTTGTCCGGGTGTACTCGTGTTTAGTTCATGTTTATTAGTTCATAGAATTGGGTCAACCTAGTTTAGGTCGGGTTTATATTTTGCATGCAACGTAGTCCGAGTTTAGACAGAATGGACATCTGTCTTATTGTGAAATAAACTGTTTAAAATTTCTAGTTTTGTCACTTTTACTGTAGTAATACTGATCTGTATTCTTCTGATATGGTCCTCTTCAAGGCAAACCTTCAGATGAAATGGATGAAACCCCAAGAGAGGAGCTCGGTGAGGCTGCAGATGATGGGAGGAGGAGCACGAACAAGCAGCAAAAATGTGACAAATACAATGTCAGTTGTGTGAACAAAGAAGAGCAGAAATAAATTGTCTGTTACAGGAGAACAGGGAGCTCAGGTCAGAGCTGAATAAAAAACAGCTGGACAAATAATTTTTAAAGTATTAAATATTATACAGAACTTCCTTGTGTTGCCATCTTGTTACCATACCATACCAATTTATTTATAGAGCACTTAAAACAGCAACAAGGCCAGCCAAAGTGCTGTTCAACAGAAACAAACAAGCACAGTGAACAGGAAAACATAAAATAAAAATATAGAAACAAATGGCAGCAGATAATAACTAAATGGCCAACACTAGAATACAGACAGGATCAAACAAATCACACCTTGTCAAAGGCAAGGGAATAAAAGTGGGTTTTCAAGCGAGACTTAAAGACTGAGTGTGGGAGCCTGCCTGACACGCAGTGGCAACTCATTCCACAGTCTTGGACCTGCAACAGAGAAAGCCCTGTCAACTCTGCGCTTACGACGGGTTCCTATAACTGAAAGGAGCCTTTGGTCTGCTGACCTCAGAGAGTGCGGTGGGACATATGGCTGCAGAAGTTCAGAGAGATAAGATGGGGCAGAACTGTTCAGTGATTTAAAAACATACATGAGAATTTTGAACTTGATCCAAAGGTGAATGGGTAGTCAGGGCAGGGAGGCCAAAACTGGTGTAATTCAATTCATTTCAAGTCAGTTTATTTATAAAGCGCCAAATCACAACAAAGTTGTCTCAGGGCACTTTACAGAAACATTCACATACATAAAAGCCAGTTAGTAAAGTTCTCTATCTAAGGAATATGTGCTCTCTATGGCCTGTACCAGTTAAAAATTGGGCTGCAGCATTTAGGACCAGTTGTAGTCGTGCAATGGAGGATTGACTGATTCCAAACAGAAGTGCATTGCAGTAATTGATCCTGGATGTTGCGAACGCATAGATCACTGTCTCAAGATTCTTTTTGGACAGTATGGGTTTCAGCTTAGACCGTTGCCTCAGCTGAAAAAAACCCCCAAGATTTAACAATCAAGTTTACCTGACTGTTAAGTTTCAAGGAAGGGTCCATTATCACTCCCAGATTTGCGAATCTTTGTTTCTCTAACGGGGCTAGAGAGGAAAGGTCAATGCAGCAACGTCAAAGGGGGAAGCAGATGGCTTGATGCTGCACATTACATGCTCCAGAGAAGACAGAGATGGGCTCAAAGTGGTCAAAAGCAGCTACGCATTGAGATGGGATGGACGGATCACGAGCTGGTGGAGAAATGAGTGCCTGGGTGTTAGCAGCTTTTTCTAAAAATAAATGGAGGAAGTTTTCACACAGCTCAGTTGAGGCTTCCATAGGTGAAGGTTCACTGAGGTGTGGGACTGAGTTGAGGGTTGAAAAAGATCTTGGGGGTTGTAAGAGTTTGAGGCAATTTTATCAGAAAAGTATTTAGATTTTGCAGTTTTAACTACTTTCTGATGACGCCAACTCTCCCTTAGCATTTAAAAAGAAACCTGCAGCCTGTCTTTCCTCCACCTGCGTTCTGCTCTCTTACATTTCTGTCTAAAGGCTTGAGTGATGTCATTAAGCCACGGCTCTGATCTAAGTTTTGTTTTTCTGGTTTTAACCGGAGCAACATGGTCCAGAACATTTAAACAGACAGAGTTGAACTGAGAAGTTAGCTCCTCGGTGGTAAGAGACACCAGGAGCTGTTCAATCCTCTGAGTTAAAAGCTTCAGTACAAAGAGCAGCAGTGAAACCCGTTAATGGTGCTTGTGGCATGTGCAGGAGCGCACAGCTTGGCAGCAGGACAAGGAGGGGTGAGATCAAACAATACAGGCATGTGGTCTGAAAAAACATTGTTGCCGATTTCCAAATTACAAACCGAGACGTGTTAAAATGAGGTCCAGTGTGTGCCCGTGTTCTTGGGTGGGACCGTTTACCTGCTGAGTTAAATCCAAAGAAACCAATACATCTATAAAGTCCTTCACTAACGACTTCTCCTAACAACAAACATGTATATTAAAGTCCCCAATGATTAAAACATGATCATATCTCGGTGTGAAATCGGCCAGAAAATCAGAGAATTCACTTATGAAGTCCTTGGATGGAGGGGGGCGTTAAATGAGTGGGCACAAAACTGGAGGAGAATGTCCAAGTTAAAAAATGTTCTGCTCAAAGCTGGAGCAGGCCATTGGGATGGCCAACTGTTTACAGGCAAAGTTTGATTTAAAGACTATTAATAATCCACCACCGCGCTGGCCTGATGGCTGCGGGGAATTAAAACACAGACAGTCCGGAGGTAATAATTCCACCAAGGTGCTGGTCTCACCAATAGACACCGTGACGGAGAGAAAATCCAACCGTGCGTCTTTAAAAAGTCATTGAGCATAAGTCTTGTTGGAAACGGACCTTGTGTTGATTAAACACATCCTGATTGGGTTCAACGCAGACACAGCCGTGGTGGGTGGAGCGTCGCGCCTACGGCCACAGATTTTGAAGAACAACGCCTCCTGGTCGGCTTGTGCGGCACGCAGGTAAACCACTCCTGTTGTTTACATGGACTGAGCGCGCGGGTAGCTAACCAGCAACCGGGCCCCTGAAGCACCACGGGTCAGAGAGGTGACGATCAGATCCAGAGCGAGCCTCATAACTCTTGACAGAATAATCCACATGGTGCCTTAGTTTCACCAAAACCCCCGCACGCTTCCCACAACGTCTGCGACGTTTCCTCCAGGGAGAAAGGCCAGGGTCATGTAGAAGGAATGCAGGAATTTCGGACAGAACCGGTGGAGGAGAGTACTGACCGCTGTACAAAACACCGCAGGCATTTCAGCAAATGTACGGAGCTCCAAAAGTGACCGACGATCGTACTGCAAGTATACTTCGGTACACTGCACAAAGCATTTTAAAAATAACAAAAATAGAAAGAAAATGGAGAGCAAGGGACGGCAAGCTCTACACACCGGCGCCATCTTGGAAAAAAAAAATCATTGTTTAACACTGTTAAGCCTTTTCTGCCAGCATAAAAAACCCTCACAATTTCAAAAGGTTCTACTAACACTAATGCATCCTGTTTAGCATCTTTGCCATCTTTTTAATGTGTCACAAAATTCTAATAACTTCGCCTTTCTTTTCTTTCCAAGGGGTGGACATGTGTCAGCAAGCTCTTAACAGAAAGCTGTGGCCTTCTCTCCAGATTATTACCCGGGGACGTTGCGTTAGCTGACAGAGGCTTTGATATTTAAGATAGTGTCGGAATCAAGGTCAAGGTTCTTTGTCATTCGCATCACATGCTGTACATGAGGTGGAACGAAATTGTGTATACAGGGTCCCAGTTACAGCCAACAAAAGTATAAATTGATGTGTGCTGAGGTTGAAATCCCATAAGCTGGAGAGGCTGTGGTTGAGTGGTTAGAGCAGTCGTCCTCCAATGCAAGAGTTGGGGATTCAAATCCACCAGCAGTCACATGCCAAAGTGTTCCTGGGCAAGACACTGAACCCCTCATTGCCTCTGATGTGTCCCCCATCGGTGTATGAATGTGATCTAAAAGAACTGATTAGTCTCTTTAGAATGATTTGTTCAATTAGCTTTGTAGAGATCTAGTAGAGTTCTGTATGAATGGGTAAATGAGAACACAGATTGTGTTGTAAAGAGCTTTTAGTGTCTTGATAAGATAGAAAAGCGCTATACAAGTACAGTCCATTTACCATTTACCATAATTTACTAAAGGGAGATGTCAACTTGATGCTAAGGATGTTGAAAACACGAGTACACCTTAGAATTAATGTGGAAAGATTGATTGGTTAAGTAAGTAATCTTTATTTATATAGCACCTTTCATAGACAATAACATCACAAAGTGCTTCTCAAGCAAAAAAAAAAAAAGAAAAGTAAACAGAATTTAACTAAAAGCCAGCTTGAATACATCAGTCTTAAAGTCTTTTTTAAAGAATCAGTGGAATCTGAGCAGCACAGTG